TTTGTTACTGCTAGAAGGCAATAACACTAGTACATCATCGCCTATGTCTAGTTTACGAGATTTAGCTTTGAGGTCATAGTATGTCTTATAGTTGCGACTACTTATTTCCGCTTGCTCTGCCGCTAATTTGGCAGTTTCTTCCAAACGCGAGCGAAGATCTAAAACATATTGGTACGTAGTTTTAACCTCACTGTCAATACTATCGTTCGTCCATAGCTCGTGTAGGATTGTCAAAGGACCGCGTACTTGTCGGCCATACAATAATTCAAAAGGTGAAAACTTAAGACTGTCATTAGGAATCTCTCTATATGCAAACAGGGCAGCAGGTATAAAGCGATCCCAGTCTCTCGGGTGATCGGTACAAAGCTTCTTAATCATGGATTTTAATACTCCATTTAGCCTTTCAACTGCACCGTTACACGAAGCATGGTAGGGACTCGTGTACAAGGCTTTTACAGAGAGTAATCTATGGATTTCACCCATTAGATCCGACTTGAATTGAGACCCACGATCTGACAAGATTTCCCTCGGTATACCGACTCGCGAGAAGATTTCTACTAAACATCCTACTCACTGCGCCACTTGTGGTAGGTTCTTTTAATGTTTGCCACTTTTTAGATCCTTCATCACTTCATTTAGCAATATTAGAGGTGGGTAAATAAACAGATATTCATAATTTAGTAATATATTTACACTTTTGATAACAAACATAAATAGGTTTTCTATAGTTGTATATCCAGGGAAAACGGCAAGTCGTCCTGTTATGAGCGGAGTGGGGCGTTACTACGGCTACTCCTGTTTTGCTCATTCCCTTATTAGAGCTGCTTCACCAGACTTTGTTATTATATTAAAACTGAAAAATAGAGATAAGTGGATTTTAAACTGAACAATAACTTTGATATTCCACAAGTTCCATGTTTAACAGGAAGTCCCCGTTCACAATATTCAAAACTCACGAGAATGCAGGTGAGCACCGTGCTCTCTGACAGGTGTGGGTGAAAAGACGCGCCTACTTTGCGCTCTCACCGTCATCGCCTTTGTCATACCTCAGGCGTTCGTGTAAGACAAAGGGAGATGCTTACAAAAACCCATATGAAACTTAACCTTTTTTTTTTTATATATATAAATATATTTACGTAATACAACAGGTTACGTAAAATTAATGTTTTGAATGATTAGACCAATCCATGTACAATACTCCCCATTTAAGTTAAAATTAATAATTTTAATTCATATGATTGGACTAATTCATTCATCCAGAGGACAACGGCTGAGTATATCAGCTCCAACATTTTCATTGCCCTTTATGTACTCAATACTATATGTATAACATTGGAGTGCGAGTGCCCAACGCATCAATCTGCCGTTAGTATTTTTCATGTTTCTTAAATAAACAAGAGGCCTTTGATCTGTTTGGATAATGAATTCTTTTCCATACAAATATATTTTGAATTTATGAATGGCCCATACAATACTTAGACACTCCTTCTCAATAGTAGCATAGTTTTTCTCCCTGTCTAGCAGTTTCCTGCTAGCATATGCAATTGGCAGCTTTACTCCATTTACATCCTGCAACAATACAGCTCCAAGTCCAAGATCGGAGGCATCACTTCTGAGATAAAAGATTTTTGAGTCGTCAGGTAAACATAAAATTGGTTCTGATACTAAAGAATCTTTTAATTTATTGAAGCTCTCAATCTTGTCATCACTCCATTGTAATTTATTACTGCAATATTTTTTTAGCAGATCATTCAAAGGGGCAGCAATACTAGCAAAATTCTGAACAAACTTACGGTAATAACCTACCGTACCAATGAAAGATCTTAACTGTTTTTTATTTACAGGTAAAGGCATTAGCTGGATTGCATTGATTTTCTCTGTAAGAGGCGTTATGCAATTATTACCCAATAAAACGCCTAGATATTTGATTTTGGAAAACCCCCAAAAACACTTACTGACGCTAGCAGTCAAACCATGCATACGTAGTCTCAACAGAAGATTTTTCAAGTCCTGTAGATGATCAGACCAGTTAGCATTATGTACAACAATGTTATCAAAGTAGCAGTCAGTATTTGCAAGACCAAACAATACTTTTCTCATGAGCCTAATGAAAGTGGCACACGCTGTTTTAAGACCAAAAGGCATTACTTTGAACATCATGAGACCTCTGTGAGTCGCAAATGCAGTATATACTTTTGATTCTTTAGATAATGGTATCTGCCAATATCCACGACAAAGATCTATTTCACTGAAATATACATTGTTTACAAAATTCCCCAAAGCGGAGTCAGTAGTTGGCATAGGTTCTGCATCAAATTCACTAGCATCATTTAAGCATCTATAGTCAATGCACACTCTCCAAGTTCCATCACTCTTCTTCACCATGACAACAGGTGAACAGTATGGAGAGGTTGAGGGTTCAATTATATTCATTTCTAACATTTTATTTACTTCATTGTTAAATTCTTTTAACAGACTGTTTGGAATCGGGTACGGTTTCTGGCGTACAGGCTTATCGGAGTTCACACGAATCACATGTTCAATAGTGTTAGTCAAGCCAGGCTTATCAGTCAACACGTCAGAGAACTCGTTCATTATCACCTTTAAATCATCAATCTGACTTTCAGATAATTCACTGCTTATGTTGATATTGCACTCACTATTAGTTTCAAGATAAACAGGTTCACAGTTATTGCCACAATTATCTTCATCTTCAACCACACAAATTTGAACAGTTTCACCTTTCCTTTTAAAACCATCACGACGAAAGTACTTCTTTAACATATTTATGTGAAATAACCTATTCTTTCCGCGAATTCTAATTACATAATCAACACCATTCCCTTTGCATTCAACAACTGGATAAGGACCAAGCCACTGCATAACTAATTTGTTACTGCTAGAAGGCAATAACACTAGTACATCATCGCCTATGTCTAGTTTACGAGATTTAGCTTTGAGGTCATAGTATGTCTTATAGTTGCGACTACTTATTTCCGCTTGCTCTGCCGCTAATTTGGCAGTTTCTTCCAAACGCGAGCGAAGATCTAAAACATATTGGTACGTAGTTTTAACCTCACTGTCAATACTATCGTTCGTCCATAGCTCGTGTAGGATTGTCAAAGGACCGCGTACTTGTCGGCCATACAATAATTCAAAAGGTGAAAACTTAAGACTGTCATTAGGAATCTCTCTATATGCAAACAGGGCAGCAGGTATAAAGCGATCCCAGTCTCTCGGGTGATCGGTACTCGTGTACAAGGCTTTTACAGAGAGTAATCTATGGATTTCACCCATTAGATCCGACTTGAATTGAGACCCACGATCTGACAAGATTTCCCTCGGTATACCGACTCGCGAGAAGATTTCTACTAAACTTTCTGCCACTGTGATCGTGTCAATATTTTGTAAAGCAACAGCTTCGGGGTACCTAGTCGCATAGTCTATTAGAGTGAGAATATACTTATTTCCTCTCTCAGAAGCTGGTGTAAAAGGACCCACTATGTCTATAGCTACACGTGAGAATGGCTCTGAAATTATGGGGAGGTTTTTCATCGGTACTCTTCTCACACTTCCTTTAGATGAAAACTTTTGACAGGTCGGACATGATCGACAGTACCTTTTAATCTGGGCACCTGCACCGGGCCAAAAGAACTTTGAAAATACTTTATAACTCGTCTTTCTGTGCGAGAAATGACCAGCTGTAAGGGAATCGTGTGCGAGATTCAGGACGTGAATCCGATACTTCTCGGGAATCACCAGTTGCTTACTCCCAATTTCATATTCATGTTTGCTTTTTAAACACACCCTGTAAATGAGATCATTGACAAGCTCATATTTTACCGTTCTAGATTTTACATTTACATTTTCGCCGCTTTTAACTTTCTCCCTTATGGTTTTTAGACTTGGGCAGTTCTTCTGTTCCTCTTTTAGATTACTTTTAGTTATGTTTAGATCTAAGAATTCAGGGCAAGCTAATGTTATAGATTTTGACTCCGATGAACGAGTTTTAACAGCCATAGCAACCGTGGGAATTTTAGTGTCACGAGATCTGTCGCGCTCAGACTGAACATCCCCTGCCTCGGTAACAGCGAGTGGGGTAGGGTTAGGCTGCGAGCAATTGGAATCCGTGGCGGTGTCTTTACTGCCGTCATAAGCGAGCGAAAGAGGATCGTGCTCCCCAGGTAGTTTCACACCTGGAACGAGTCCAATCAGCACATCTGCAAATTTGATTGGTGCTGCAACCGCACTGATCCACCCTGTGAAAAATTTACTTTTAATAAAGCATCTTACTTTAGGGAATGAATTTGGAATGCCCAGATAATCATATACTTTGACTACGGGACCTAGTTTGAATCTAGATGGTATCAACTTTTCGTTTACAATTACGGAGGAACATCCCGTGTCGAGTAATATTTCTGCTGGCTTATCAAACAACTTCCCATTTGAGTCAATTATTGAATTCTGAGGTTTGATTTCCGACTGAAATACAAAATTAACCTTGGATTCACTCTTAGTTTTGAAGTTCTTAGGGTTGTTAGGGCAGTTAGGCCTGATATGACCCGACTTCCCACATCCATGACACTGAATCTCATTTTCAATATTTGTAGACTGTTTAGTCACCGACCTTGAAAATTTACTTACTCGATATGAGTGTGCACTACGGTATCTATCAGCGGCTTCTGCCATTTCCACCGCAGTTTCACAGCCTTTCTCCTTCAGAAATACGCGGAGATCGGAACTGCAATTATTTAATAATTGTTCCCTGACAAGAAAATCGAACAAGCTACTGTATTTCTTCTCAACATTACTCATAGTTATCCATCTATCGAGGTACTGCTCCATTCTAATTACTAACTGGACATACGTCTCCTTATCTTTACATCTGCTCTCACGAAACTTACGCCGATAAGAATCTGCGTCTACAGAATAAGCCCTCAACAAAGCCTCTTTTAAGCGAGTATAGTCTCTAACGATGTCATCTGGCAAAGATACGTAAA